TGTCTTCTGTGACGAAGAAACCATTATGGTTCTTTTGGCAGGATTCAGGAACTTCAGCTGTAATCCTGCGCACTTGCAGAGCTGATAGGAGAAGACAAATTAGCGGACGGAACATGGTTTAGTTTCTGAGTCACGATAGCGGCGAATCGAAGATTTCCAACAATGAGCTTCAAAATGCAAAATGTAATGCTAAGAAAAGTCGAGGATCTGCATACTCAGTTTCTCGTGCAGAAGTCTGTACATAAATATACACCAAGCTTGGTGCCCAATCTACAAAATAACCAAAATCTATGCACGATAAATTGCATGTACTATGCACGACTGAATGCCACAGGTGGCCTTGCATTTCCAGCCCGACATAGGCACCTGCCCGCCAGAACAGACAACTTCCAATAGGTCGCACAGATCTAGGAAGGCCTAACCCATGTAAGTCGTACTTCGAGGTGCGAACTGCACTGAAATAGGTCTAGCGTTAGCGTTTCGTGACGCGTGTACTAGCCATCTTCTACTCTCTAAACCGCAAACTGTAAACCGCTTCCCCCTTCTTGCGACACTCAAAGGATCTTGTTCAAGTTGTTATTGTTTGGCCACATCGCGGGTCCAGGGAGCGGGCAAACGGTCGGCTGTGGCTTTGCCCAACTGTCATATTTGAAGAACGGCTGCGTGCGGTTGTATACACCCGGTATCTTGAATGTAGGTGAGGGAGAGCCGTTATAACTGCTGGCAATCTCGATGTGTGCACATTGGATGTAAAACTCGCGGTTTGTGTAGGGAGGATGAGTGGTGATCTGCTCGATTCGCATCAGGTATTGGCCTGCTGGGATCTCGGCAGGGAGCTTGAAAGTGAACTGCTTCTTATGCCATGACAGCCATGCGGAGTCAGCCGTCGAGCCAGGCTGATGCCCAAGCTGATATACTTTGAACCAATCGCCGGATCCATCGTAGTCGCGAATATCGCCGGGCGCTTTCGAGAGATAAATCTAATAAAAAGTGGTTATTACGATGAGGAGATCTGCTGATGGCAGTAAGGCAACGATACCTGAACAGGGCCTGGATGGAATAATTCCGTATTGATATATGCTTGGAAACCAATGACATCTTGGCCTGCCTTGACTTTGTAAGTCTTCGGTTGAGTGCGGTGATTCATGGAACCCTTATTGCAGCGGAGATCTTCGCTGTTAATGAATCTGCCCTCGTCCCATGAAGGCTGGAAACCGTTATCGTGCTCGCGGACATACTCGTGTGCACCAGTAACTTGGCCATTGATTACAAAGTGAGGGAAGTGGTAGTGCGCTTGAGTGAGGTAGGATAATTGCCCGATGAGGCTGATGGCTAGTAGAATCTTCATTGCCCTATAAGAACTCGAATTTGGATTGAACTGTGATAATCTTGAAGCTTTCAACAGTGTAATGAATAGCTGGGAATGGATGTAGCAAGATTCCAGTCAGACTTAGACTCTTTATAATCGCATTGCATGCTTAGAGACCGTACTAGTCTTCTAGAATTGCAGGCCATGATAGGCTGTTGGAAGAGATAAGATTGGCAAAATCTTGGTAGGGCGATATGGAGTAACCCTATAGGTACTACACTGTTTACTTGGCAGATAATATACAATATTTGTTTGAAGTAGAGAGTGGACGTGAGAAGCGGGGTGGACCCCGTATATTCAACGCTCATGCATTGGCTTCTGTCCCTACTGGCTGACCTGTTCAAGCAGAGCCATTGGAATGATCGCAACAGAATATATTCAAACTCTTTTGCCATAACTTCCAGCGCATGATGTCCATCAACTTGCATCAACCTAGAGGAGGTGTTCCATCCAAAAAGTGCCGTCGAGCGCTTAGCTTATCATTGACTGCATATGCACACGCATTATGCCTATAGAATCGCCAAGCAGCCTAATAATAGATAAGGGCCGTTGATACATGGTACAATTCAATTGCCAAGATTAAGGAATGTTTCAGTTGGTCTCCCGCTCGTCGGAATATTTGCGGAGACTATACTATACTTATTTTGTGCATTATAACTTTTTCAGGCACTAATGCGACGTTAGTGTCCGGGGAAGTTCGATGATATCTCGATTCTCTTGGCAGGTATCGATGAACAACAAATTACACTTGTTTTAGATTCCTATGGTCACCCGAACTGTAATAGCCAATGTAGCCGAGAGGCGGTGTCAATATATGCATGAAGGAAGCCTAGTAGTTGTATCGTTGAGCGGTATTGGAACTCACGCCCAAATACCCTTTCTCTTGGCACTAACTCTTGCCTATCACTCCTAGAGAGTTGTGCATGGGTAACTGGGCAATAGAGAAATGATGTTTTTTTGGCGATTGTGCTATCCGCCGCACCCCGAACGTTTACTTAAGCTTACACATGCGTTTTGGCAGTACATATAAAGGATAGAAAGGTATCGAGTCAAGATCCAACATTGGTTCGGATGATTGAATATCTAGAACTGGTTAAAGAAACCCCAAATCTCATCTGGAATATAGCTGCGAGCGCCACTATCACCCCCGCCATCCACGGGTGCAGGCGCATGTCCACCATCAAACGCAAGCCATGTGACTGGGTACCCAGACTTGCAGCCGGAGTATTTCGTTGTTACATGTGTCTTGCTACCGGCCGCGGGCTCCCTAGGACTCTGGCTTGTGCAACCATTGTTCTTAACGAACCTATCACGCAACGCTCGGCCGCCAGCAATATTGAGTGTCCCGTCGCTGATGCCATGGATGCCAAGGTACGCGATAGGGTCATTCCCACCGTTACATCCACTTAGCTGCCCTCCAGAGATAACAGCAACTGCGCGAAAGTCTTTAGCGCGGGAGCATGCGATGGAAAAGGACATTGATCCGCCGTACGAAAAGCCCGTCGCGAATCTCTTTGTTGTGTCAACACAAAGGTCTGCCTCGATTGAGTTCCTCATTGCATCCAGAAATGCAATATCCTCCCCACCGCTGTTTGGCCAACCATTATTCAGGCCCTGTGGCGCAACCAGGATAGCGCCCTCGTTAGACTTCTTCTGCATCCCATAATATGCCCATTGAGCACCGTCAGATCCGCCACTAGAGACATCTCCCATAGTGCCGCCAACCCAATGAAAGGCGAAAATCAACTTGTAGGGCTTGCTCTTGTCGTATCCAGAGGGTACACGAATGGTGTATTGACGATTCTTGCCATTGACGTTGATGCTCTTCACGCCCGACGTTAGCGTGGGCGTCTTTCCGCACCCAGCTGAGTTTGCGCGCTTGACAAGACCATGTGTAGCATCAGAGCTCGCTGCTGGCAACTCAGAGACGACCGCTTTGTTGTATGAGCATTACATCCTTTCAAATGGGTTGTCTGGTGGTGAGGCTTACAATCTTGGTAGTATCCTGGCGCGCCCAATACCGTGGCTGCACCTAAGAGCAAAGCTCCAGCGAGAGATTTTAGGTAGAGCATTTCGAATGATCAAGAAGATTAACGACGTATATTCCTCATAAGAGAGGACCTCATGTTATATACACGCACTACTTTTAAATATAGAACCGCATCATCTGATGCCCCATGCACGCTCGCCCAGACTGTCAGTAGTGATAGTAAAAAGCACGGTAGTTTTCCAGCTCAAAGCCCTGCGCACGATATCAGGGAAATATGCGTTTCACACCAATCAGTCTGGCTATGGGGCTGCGCAGAACCTCCTACTCCGCAGTAACTGAATTCTCCGTCATGCACGTTGTTTCATCATCCTCTGATGGCCGTGCGCTAGCTATCTTTGTATAGGCGTAAACCCCTCTTAGCCATGGCCCTACTCTGGTCTTCCCCGCAATTTTAATTGTTGCAATCTCCGGGAATTCGCACAACTACCGATATATTAAGTGAAGACAATGCAAATTCTCCAGGCGCAATGTATGAAAACTGGGGAAAATCAGGACAATGTTTCAGACCCACACCCAGTTTCAGTCACCAGGATTTGACCAGTCATGCACTGGAAACTTGTTTTGTTCTGCGCCGCCGTGTGCGCCCACACTGCACGCGCAGTGGACTTTTATGTCTTATCATCTGGCTTGGATAGTAATGCAGGAACAGCAGTTGCTCCTTTCCAAACAATCGCTAGAGCGCAGCAAGCTGTTCGCAAGCAGATTGCTGGAACGGCCAAGGAAAACATCACCGTCCACGTTGGTGCAGGCACATATACGCTTTCAGTGCCCCTTAGATTCACAGTCGAAGACTCAGGCAAGAACGATGTCACGGTCAAATGGGTTGGGGCTGGTGCGACGATATCAGGGGGTCTTAAGATTACCAACTGGACAGCAGAATCAAATGGTGTTTACTCCGCGAAAGTTCCAGTGGGCCTCAAGTCGCGAAACTTGTACGTCAATGGGAAAGCTTCCAATTACGCACGCAGGAAGATTGCAAACCGAAAGGACTTCACTTACACGAGTACTGGTATGGAATGGACTTCGAGCACATATGACTGGCTTTCCTCCACCCCGGGATTGAATGGCGCAGAGATTCGCTTTATCAACTCTTTCGCAGATCGCTATGCACCGATAGAATCTGTTGGGAACAGAAAGTTGATAATGAAGCAAAATACATGGTACAACCAGATCTGGGGCTATGACACCGTCAACAAGAACAATGCGGACTTTGGTGTATGGGTGCAGAATGCCTTGGCACTCTTGACAGAGGGCGGTCAATTCTATCTTGACTCGGCTGCTGGTAAGGTTTACTACAAACCACTCTCGGGCGAGAATATGGCAACTTCAGACACGTATCTGGGTGTTTCCGAAGCGCTCGTTGTGATTGGCGGGACCTACGCGGATCCTGTTCATGACATCTCGTTCCACGATTTTAACTTTGTAAGCTTGAGCTTAGGCCACTGCATAGACTCACCTCTCACTCAAACCATAGGCTCATACCACATGGCTGCAACCTGCTAGCATTGGATACATCGATCAGCAGACAGGAGGCAACATTTGCGAAGACAAGACGTATGACCCCTCCAACTTTGAGTCCACCCGTCCCAATTGGTGTCAAATGCCGTCCGCAATCCAGATTAGCGCAGCTAAGAACATAGTCTTCTCTGGTGGAAATTACACCATGATGGGTGGCGGAGGCATCGGTATTGGCAACGATGCCAACGCTCATATCACTGGTACTGGTTTGGGAGCAAACAATATTGCGGTCAAGGACGGCTACTTCACCCAGGTAATGGGTAACAGCATTACTGCCGGCGGCATTCGAGCCGATGCACACCATCCAAGTGATGTACGCATGACAAACTCACACATAGAGATATCCGGTAACATCTTCTACAATGTTTCGTCTCTGTTCAGTTCTACAGTGCCGATTCTAGCGACATATGTCCAGAATTCTGTCATCTTACATAACGACATCTACATCACTCCTTATACTGGCATCTGCATTGGCTATGGCTGGGGATCTAACGATGCCGGAGGTAGTTCTGAATACGTCAACCGCGGACTATACAAGTATCAACCAAAGTATACGAGTCCGACAACGTCGACGAACAACCGCGTCGAGGGCAACTTGGTTCACGGCTACGGCTACTCACACACTGACCTTGGTGCAATATACACCCTTTCAAAGAGTCCATCCACATACATTATTGAGAATTATGGCTTCGACTCTAGTGGCTTCGGTGCTTATACAGATGAAGGCTCCAATTCATACCTCATCCAAAACAACATCTTCCTCTCAAATGGCATCTGGTATGCACGCAACGGCGTCAACACGGCAAATAACACCATTACAGGTAATTACGGCAAGACCGGGCCGGTTATTTCTGGCAATACGATTGTTTCGGACATTTCGAAGGTATCGGATTCGGCAAAGAAGATTGCGCAACGCGCTGGTGTACTCCCTGAGAAGCGTGCTGGTCGGCCAGTGTCAAATCCCCCAGTTTAAGGTATTGAAGTGGATGTGCTCCTGGGATATATCGTGAGAGGGCAAGGCCTTCATCTTAGTACAATAGTAATGGAAGCCAAAACTCACCTTTACACCGCCGCATCCTTCATCATAAAACATTTCGTAGCGGCTTATAATACCAGGAGAAACGATATCAATATCACAAATAGTAGTAGTAGTATACTTACGATATACAGCGGCCACTAATCTAGTCATTTCTACCATTACAAGGCTAGTATAAGTAAGTAAGTAAGTCTAAATCGAGCAAATAATTGTGCGCTGCAGTCAAAAGGAAGGCAATAGCGTACTGGAGTCCAATGCACATTCTGCTTCCACTAGAAATGCCAAGAACCACCTGCTTATCTCGACAGTATTCTGGGAGGGATCCATCCAGCGATCAGTGTTGAACTGCATTATATCTAAGAAGACTTTTAGATTCCGATATAGAGTATACGGCAATATAGATACTGTCGTTCCTGCTGGGATACGATAGCCATCAATCACGGTAGCTGTGGGGGCTTTCCGTGGTTCAGGGGCTGGCAAGGGAGCGTACAGTCGAAGAGTTTCTTTAATAACAGCGTTTACATAAGGAAGCTTGTCACTAGCCTCGACGTTTGGAATGTGGTGTGCATTGAGGTTCTCCTGAGATATGCTGCGGACCTCACCAACGAGTTTCTGCTGGGACCTGTTGCTCTCGGGCTGGGAGAGCGACCAGATGAAAAACATCAGGGCATCGCTGGTGGTGTCTATGCCAGCGAGAAGGTGATCGGCGCACCCGGAAGCGATATCAACGTCGTCCAGCCCACCAGTCTTTCGGGAGTAATGATTCTTCCACAGTTTCGCAATCAATGGGGGCGTTTGCTCCACGCTCTCACAGAGGTCGTAAGCAGCCGGGCTACGTGCAAATTCCTGGCATGCGATCATAACGTGGCGCCGGACGCCTGTGTACGTGTTTGGCAGCTGCATTGGGTAGGAGCCGCGGGCAACCTTCCCAAAGAGGCCGGTCCAAGAATACAACCATGCAGTATAGCGTGGTAGGTGGACGGTGAACCAGGATAATCTGCGGCGCGCAACGTCCACTATATCATCGACCAACGCGCGGTCGGCTTCGGAACCTTCTAAGCAAGACGTCTTCCCGTACTTCCCGTATAAGAAGTCGGTCATAGTGTCTAAAGAAAAGTAGTGCAATGAGGCAAATATCTCATTCGAGCCTTCCTGTCGGGCAATCAGATCCAAGTACTGGCGGATCTTGGCTTCCACTATGGCTGCATTGGCTCCTTTGAGCATGGCCGATTTGGCATAGGCATGAAATATGTTGTAGAAACTGGTCCGCTCGAAAGCACTGCCGGCTCCATACATGATTCGCAGAGCGGAAGTGCTGTTGAGCGACACTTCACTAGGTCCCAGGCGCACGACGGGACCGTGCTTGTTGCGAAGTGCGTGTGCCTCAGAAGTCTTCCAATGCAAGTCGCCATGCTGAGAAGGCAAAGGCTTTTGGACCCGGTATCTTTGTAAGAGGGCTTATAAAGAGAGAAAAACAAAGGTGGTAGAGCAAGAATGCCAGGCCAAGGGTGGCAGCAGCGACAACTGCTATGGCCATTGCCTAGCGACAAGAGAGCAGGAGAGCGTTATGATGAGAAGGGCGTTGAAAAATTCGAGACGCTTGAACAATGACACTGCCGCTGCTGATCCTGTGCATTTACCGCTGCCGGTCATGTTAAATAAGCGTGTCTTGGTCAATGCTTGTTTTGCGTGAATGTCGCGAGATAAGTAGTGATGGATTGGGGTTGGCGGGGATGATGGCAGGATACAGTAGTACTTACTTACTAGCGTGGTTGCCCGATTCTGGCTGGGAACGCCAAATTCGGCAACCGCCAGCGAGACTGGCGTCGGTGCTCATGTGTAGCCAGTGACGGAAGGCGCGTCAGCCCCAAGTACTCCAGACAGCTCGGCTTCGGCAGGAGTCTGCGACATGTTATTTCCTCTGACGTAGGTATGGAAAGCGCCTGCGAGCTTCTTATCAGTGCCCTCCTGCGACTCATCAGCGCCGCAGTTTCGACTACGTAAACATGCAAGCCCGCAACGCCTACACGTCAGGCAGATACATGTGCATAAAGACAAAGGAGCTGGACCGAATCGGGCCCAATACTCAGACCTATATAAGGATTGCGACTCTTATTTAAGAATGGTCACCATTTGTGTATCACAAACTCGTCACTTCTGTACGGTTTCCTTCCAGCTTAGTAGTACAATTATCCAAAGCCAAAGTCGTCATCTTGCTCCCAATCGTCGACCATGCGACTAAACTCCTGGACGGGTCTTCTGCCCACAGTGGCCGCCCTGGACGTTGGTCCAGACTACAGCCATCCAATCGAAGGTTTGTAGAATCTACACAAAATAGACTGGTGAATTGGATCCGTGCGCTCATGCGTTCACAGACTCTGATGTCGCTTCGGTCCTAGAGGTACCCGAGCTGGCTCTGCAAGGAAAAAAAGGGTCGAAGCTATAACACCGTCTGGGAAGTCAACCCTTTCGAGGAGGGACTCGCTATTGTAAGTTAAAGTATTCAATACACACAAATAATCCTGTAATGAGTAACGCTCTTGCTCGCCGTCCTTACTTGTGAGATCCACCGCATTGATACTTTGGCTTCCAGGTCGATTGCGGCGATGTGCCCTTCACTCCGTTCGATGCAGCCCATGTTGTCAAGCGGGTGGAACAAGGATACAGACAGGTCTTGTACCATCCAACCTCTTCAGCAAACTCATGGGAACATCCGCGTATCATCAGCTTGGGAGGTGATAATTCCATCACCCTGCCCATTTTAAGATCTCTCAAGACTGTGTATGGATCTATATCCGTCATTCACTTGGACTCGCATCTGGATACGTGAGCAGCGTCTTCCCTTTAGCGATTTAGAAGAACCGACGCTAACCGTGTCGCATACAGATGGGATCCTTACCAAGGCTACACAGGTATTAGATCAAACCAGTCCGCCCTTACCCATGGTACTTTCTTTTGGCACGCTAGCCGGAAGGGCTGCATCAGCAAAAGGACCAGTGTGCATGGTAGCCTCCGAACCAAGCCATTTGCCAGTGCCCTCACTCTTCAGTACTCCAACTCAAGAACCGTTTATATTAACATCTTTATTTTCGTCGTTGTAAAGCCCGAAGGATTACGAGATTGAAAGAGATGTCGGCTTCGGCATTATCGAGGCACACGAGATCGATGATATCGACATGAACGGTATCATCGCCAAGACACTGAACTTCGTCAAAGATACCCCTGCCTATCTTTCCATCGACATTGACGGTGAGATACCTCCTACCCCTGCGTCATCTACTGCTTTCTCCGTGCACTCAGAGACGCCAATATGCTAATTCGTTATAGTGCTGGATCCAAGCATCGCCCCGGCTACAGGCACTCCAGAATTCGGCGGATGGACTACGCGCGAACTCAAGCGGTTTATCAGAGGCCTCGAAGGCATCAATCTATTTGGTGTTGACGTAGTAGAAGTAAGCCCGCCGTATGACACTGCCGCCAAAATCACATCGATTGCGGCTGCGGACCTGATCGTGGATATCATGGCGGCCATGGCCAAATCAAACAAGGGACCAGCGCTGCTTAGGGTGAAAGAAGAGCTCTAAAATGACCAAAGCCATACTCTGATATCTAACCGAGGCGTGATTGGCCATTTTTTTCGTCAGAAGAGGGAACCAGATACACACAAGTCAGATAGGAGCAAATCATCGTCTTAATAAATGACTGTAGGAAACTAGAATCAAGACAATAAGTCTTCGAACAGCAGATTCTGCTCATTGAAAGTACTGTTAGAAGATATGTAGATGTATAAAAAGCAATATACATTCGATGAAGAAACCTGCTATATTGTCTCATGACCACTACGTTAGATGACTATCACCCCTTGTGCCCAACTACACAGGCAAGACTAGCCTCCGTATGCGCCGTAACGCCTCTCTCCAACTATTGATATTTCCATCTATATCCGTAACATCCCAGACCTCCTGGATAACCCTCCACTGCCGTGTAAAGTTCCCAAGACCATACCCCTCGACCCGTGTCCACCACCTGACCCAGGGCTCGCGGTTCCTCGTCTCACACGCGGCAATAAACGCCGGCCACGACATAGGCGCGGTTCTCTTCACACCGCCCATATATGCATCCTTAAGGTTTTCTGCTGCCGCCAGGTTCTCCCAGACAGCATTTGCCTCCGCCTCAACATCTACATCGACGATGACGCCCTCGCCATCAAGCACCGTGCGGCGGTAGTATATCAGCAATGCGCTATGGAATGCGCAGACCTGACACCGCGCAATCTCAAGCATAGTACGCTCCTGTCACTAGATAAGATGGGAGGGCTCCGTGTCAATTACCTAGGCCATAATAGCCTCGCCCAGTATCTTGTGCGCTGCGCAAATAGACGCAGGGGTCGGTATACCTGCCTGCTGGCGGTAGAAGGCGAGGTGTTCTGCGATTCGACACGTTTTGTGCAGTAGGCTGGCGAGTTCGGGGGTGATTCCGTATATGTGTTCGATACTTCTCTCATCAGGGTGGAAATATGGCGGAGCGGAGGCGGGAAGGTGGTAATCGGGCGGCCACGGTCGAGGAAAGATTTCGAGGCATGTTGTCTGGGCGAGGAGGGTGAGGAAGCGGCAGATGCTGGTGACTTGGTTGCTCGAGTCACCTCTATTCATGCTGAGTGGTATAACTTGCTGGCGTAGTCAGCGACATGCTTGGAAGTGGATTGGGACGTCAGAGTCTTCTCCAGTCATGGTCTGTAGGGGAAAGGAGGGCATTTGTCAGAGAAAGGGCCGTTGTCATCAATGCTCCCAGCTGGTTCTCAGGATGATGCCGAGCGTTCTGAAGTTGTTTGAATAATGTCATTGCAATTAGATTGGAAGAGACCAAAAGGCCCAATGAGAAGCGTGCCTAATGGCGTAACGACCGAATTGATGGCTGACAGTTTCCTCGTTGTTTCACGGTCCGACGCAAGTGGTAATGCTGGCCCGCCTAGCAATAAATTAACTATGCTCAGAAGGTAGCCATTTAGACCCGCTGAGAAAACGAATGTTCGAGGCTGACCTGTGTTGATCTTTCGCCGGTGTAAGCCTTGAAGGGTCTGCGCACTCCAAGCCAGCCTTTCCACACACTGCGCACCCGTTATCCTGCCGCTCATCAGATTTTATCTTGCGAGATTGGCAGGTCCAGCAGCTGCAAACTGTCAGCGAGATCCACGGCTGCGCAACGCCCTGTAAAGTATCTGGGATAGGCTCTATTCGTACCCCGTGAATGTCACACATTTGGACTTGGACTGCCATGCACGAACAGGATTCGGCCTGGCCTTCATCACAGATGTGCCGCGGGCTGATTGGCTGCAGCTCTTTGCATTCTGGAAGTGACAAGAAATCTACTTGGGTCATGCGGGATCGGACAATCTGCTCATGTGTTGAGTGATGTGTCATGCACAGATATCAGATGATAGCATGTGAGGCAAGAAGGTGGAGAGAAAGCTACGGCGGATCTGAGGTCTTACTCACGCTATCCAGTGTACATGTCCTAGCCTGGTGATTGGTGAGAAGCACGACTTACAGAAAATCATGGGGTAGTCGAAACCAGTCCAGATTCATTACTATCTTATCGCGATGGCCCGCGACAGGGAAAAGTAGGTCTCCCATATTGGAAGGCGCCAGCGAGCAGGTCCTTCTTCTCTAAATGGTGATGATGATGATGGTGATGATGATAATGATGATGATAGATGATTAATTTAGTGACTACAGATTCATCAAATGGCAACATGGGAACCACCGCGGAAACAACCTCACCACCAGACAACCCCCTCCTCATTGCCTAAAGCGAACATGCAGTCCATTGGAAGAATATTGAATACCTTCTCTCTTTAATACCTGCAACTCTACTCGAGGGTCTTGGTAGTATCTTCTCCCGTGCACCATCCACCACAGCCCCGCGAGCACAGCAAGACCCGAGATGATGACGCTGATGCAGTTCATCGCCCCAGCCGTCGTCGGCAGGCTGTACGGGAAGCAATAGATGACGATGGAGACGGGGATATAGAAGCAGGCAACGCTGTTGACGGTGGCACCAAAACGACCCATCTAGAAGGGTCTAGGCTTGATGAGCTTGCGGCCAGACATCAAGTGCGGCAGGATGGCAACGAGGTACGACAGCGTCGGCAGCACGAAGAACGAGCCTATGAAGGCTTTGAACGCTGTCAGTGAACCTGCATACACCGCCCCAGTGCAAGTCATAAAGATGCCGTATGCTAGAGTCGAGGAAAGCGGGCTCTGCCATTGCGAACTGACTGCGCCAATCTTACTTGCAAACGGGGTTGCGCCGTCACGACCGAGTGCGTAGAGCGTGCGGCCCGCAGCCCACCGTTGCGCACAAGATTGGCAGGATGATGACTGTAAGCAGCCCAACCGCTCCCCCTTTGGAGCCAGTCGCTTGTAGATACATCTCCCTGGTGGGACAGATGGTTTCCAGCTCGATGATCGCCTCTAGGTTCTTGGTGGCGTAGAACACTACGATCAAGTAGCAGAAACCAGTCACAAAGCCCATGACTACCTGACAGGGGAGAGATTTGGGCAGATTCACTCGTGGACTAAGTACGTTGGTTAGCCAGTTCTCTCTTGTGTTATCTATATGGATCTTAGCGCCCAAATGGTTGTTTGGGCTGAAATGGTACGACATACCGTGGAATCCTCCTCGGCAATGTGGGTAACACAATCAACAGCACCCACGGCATCGGCACCGTTCAGCATACCTGTCAGGAAAACAAACTCGTCGCTCAAATATCCGGTGCCTTTGTTCCACTGATTTCAGACGGATTCGCTCGATGCATACCTATCACCAGCTAACCCAGGCGTTACGGCACAGACGATGATAGTAACAAAGAAGCCCATGATGGTGAGGAAGGAGCCGAGTCGGCTGATAAGTGGAAAAGAGCGCTGCGAAAATGACAGTGAAGCAGCATCCCCACGACATGATGAGGTAGCAGATAAAGACGTGCCATCGCTGAGGCTCCAGCTCGGGGTGATACAATTTATACGACTGGAGCACCATGTTACTGACCATGACGCAGTTGGAGGCAATGGCAAACATCCACGCCAAACCATTCAACCAGCCAGCAAATCAACCACAAGTTTTGCCGTACTTGGTGCCCGCCGTCACCAACGTCCAATGGTAGACTGCAGATGAAGCTCTATTAGTACGCGTTCGACCCTAATTCTAGAAAATCGCGAAAGTGTGATGGGCGTACCTCCTGATGATGGGATTGACGATGCGAGTTCTGCGATTGACGCCAGAGTGAAGCCATAGAAGATAGAGACGACTACACTGCAATTCCAATCGTGGTGTTAGCTAGGAAATTGATACGCTTGAGGTCAAAATGAAATCTGAAAGAGTCACGCACTACTCATATATCGCCCCAGCCGCTTCACCGCTGCGAAGCGACGTAATCTGTCCTCTCTGTTAACTCCAGCTAGTAAAGTGTCCACAGTTATGTTACGTACAATACCTGCGCCCATAACAGCCCACGAGTTACCGGTAGTAATGCCAATCGCACAGGCGCTTAATAGAGTAAAGGTCCTTGTTAGAGCTGGTCCCTCGCTCACAAGCACAAGCCCGCCCTCGGCAAAGTCGGCTGTTGAGTGCTGTGAATGAGCACCAGATCTATCCTCTAGCCCTTTCTCCGAGTCCGTAAGTTCCATGGCCATTTGCATTCGTTTTCTAGAAGTATCAAAAAGGCACAAAGATAGAGTACAAAGAAATGGAGTTTTTGTTACTCAGAGTTCCGAAATTGCCTTGTACTTATACACTTCCTCGAGTTTAATAAACCCTAGTTTTACTAGGTATACAACTATATGATCAAGCATCAAGACTGCTCTGACCTAGTGCTCATGATAAGGGCTTTGATATAAGCAGACTTTAGTGATCTAATCACAGCAACTGCTCTCCAACAGATTGATCTGGTGAGTTTGTGGATGAATGCCCCGCTCGCTGTTTCCTTGTTCACTTTCATCCTTTGATGCATTCCACTTGTGAAAATCGGTATCATGAGTGTTCAATGATTATTCCTAAGCACTTGTGGGGTAGGAGCTTCGTTCTAGATTACAATGGCGAGAACCTCTAGGGAGCTGCGATGGATATGGGCTCCATGCGATGGGGTGGAAGCCTCCTGGGGTATTTCATTCCCATAGTAGCTTTGGGAGTACTCGGATTCGTAAGCTCCAAGGGCCCCGTCCAGATTCGCAAGGCAGTGCTAGCACAACCCCCAGGGCCACGGGCGTTATCTACTGCGAGAATTATCTGTCGAGGACTATTGGATGCTGATCATAACCCGAAATTGCCGTGATGGGTTCGCTGGCGCCTTCCAAACCCGATATATTAGGGTATCCCCTAGGTCATGGTGGTAACCTCGTTTGATTGGCTCGCTGGCATCTTCCTTGCAAATCCTTTTGCTCTTCTCGTCGATTGACATACTATCTCGGTTATGAATAAGTACATAAGCCCTAGAATTTCAACAACCTGGGACCTGCTGTGGTATACCCAGAATCGTGTTGCCTCTGCTCAATACTGAAGCTGTGGAGCAACTCTTCATTGACTACTTGAAGGTAATCATTCTCAAGCGATGTCTTCGTTTCTCTCAACCCCACTTCACCCCCAGTGACCCGCCCGTCGAGCGTATCGACTTTTCTAAACTGGCGAGCAGCTGGTTAAGGCCGACGTCGATAAGTGACATGGATGTAGTACCGCCCGCGCCATTGCATTCATCTGCCACTGGCCTACCTCTTGTAGAAATTCCTATTGGCTGGAACAATGAAGATGTGATGGGACTACAGTATTTCCCATACATTGCCAACACTAACGGACAGTTCGATGCCCGCGTTGTTAAGCAGCGCTAGAAAGACCTCTTTCTCTGGCTGTGGGAGGACGGCGAGGCCGAGTCCGATGACGCTACCTTCATTTTCCCGCTGCTCATGCACCCGGACTCCAGCGGCCTGGCGCACGCCATGGCTATGGTAGATCACTTCATCGGTTGGTTACTGAGTTGGGCAGATCTGGTCGAGTTTCATACGTGCAAGAGCATAGCGCACGATTTTCTTCGTAAGAAGGGTGTTAAAGATAACAACATCTCTAAGTAGACGCTAGAAGTAATTTGATGTAGAATTCCGCCATAAGCTCGTGTGAATAACTATTGAGCCCTCTTCATTTCTGTCTTGGTTTTTGATTAATGGTAGCCGTTCCCCAGACGGTCCTCTATGATCCCCATACAGTGCCCGATCATAATGATTTATGATAATGAGAAACATCAGACATGTATCACATGAATAGGAAGAGAAGGGCTTTCCTAAAGAAAAGACAGCACTTGCGTCAATAGAGGAAAGTTAGGCAGTTCTAATTTCTGATATTATGACAGTGGGCCTCAAGTATTGAACGAGGAGTAGAAGGCATACGGCTGCACATGAAGAAGAGATGAGAGCCCACGAAAACCTGAAGTGGAAAGTTTAGTTGGCTGGTTGTTGAAAAGGACTGTAAGTCAAGGCTCTATGTCAGATTTAAGATTAGCGCAATGAAAAACGAAGATGAGATAATTAGAAAAGAAGAAGGTAAAGTAAAGGGTAAAGAGGTTAGGTTAGAACCTTGAATTTGAGCCCTAAGGGGAGCGGTTCTTTAAGCTAAAGTTTGCACAACCTCCAAGTGCTATATTGCTCGCTCTACCACCTAACACTAGTAATGTCTTGACTTTAACCGAACTTTGGCAATGAGTCCCGCTAGAAAGGTACACCGTTCATGTTGCCCGCGCAAACATTATCACCTTGTCTTGCTTTGCCGACGATCTCAAAGCTTCCTGGCCATCCAAACCACGATGCTTCATAGCGGCGGCATTTGGCATCCATCTGAGCCATTGCGTAATAAACGTCGTCCCGGTTGCAATTGCCACATTTTCCGGATTCGTTGACGCAATAGTATACCATCATTTGATTTCTCAATGATGCAACGTATCTTCTTAGACCTGGTGTGCTTGAACAGACATCCTGCCCGTTGCCAGCCCACCCCTCGGCCAGGGCTTCGAATGCCCTATCGATGCCGAATTCTTCGAGCTGATAACCCCAGCAATCGGTGCGGCGCTTGGACAGTGTGTTGAGTGTGGATGATGAAAGCATGTCGCGTCGATTCGCGGCGCGTACCACTGCGACGTCCTCGGCGGTAAGGACAATGGGAGAGGCTCCGTTTTCAGATGGAGTGTAGACTTCAGTGCCATTGGTGTATCTTGTTATCATGTAAACACCGTCTGGGACGGTAGTAGCAGAAACGGTAATAATGCTGGCAGCAAAAGCCACGAGTGCAGAAGTGAGATGCATACTGATTGAATTTAAACTCGGTAGAGTGTAATTGAAGGTGGTGGTTGAGAGCAGGCTACAGGTGATTGTTTGGAGCTGTGGTAGTGAGCCTAGGAATGAGGAAAGTGCTTGCTCTTATACCTTGGTATTCAAAATACGTCCCCACATGTATCTATTGGATAAATGCAAAAGGGTAAGCCACCCTACGTTCAGGCGTTCCAGGCCGCTCGAAGCAGGATGTTGGGTGTATAACTCGCACCAGCATTATACGAAGCGGCGGCCCCTGACGGGAATTGGACGATACGCGGCATAGTATTGCTAGGATTGATTAACTACTTCAATTCAAAGTCAATACCTTTTTAGATCGAGAAATAAGACGATTACTTTATGATCTGGATACTAATATAGAATGTGAAGCTGGAGAGTCATACCTCTGATAAGCTATCAAGCAGCAAACATACATGCTTCCATGTCTGGTTCAATTACATTATCTCTAGACATGCTTCGCATGTGGTACATGATGAGGCTGAATAAAACGTATGGTCCTTGTGTAACTTTTCCGCGATATTGATAGATACGCGAAACCCTGCATCAAGGCCCACCAACAAACGCGGGAGATGCCGCGGTAAGGCCCGCGGCGGTGAGTCCCGCTGCTGTAAGGCCCGCTGCATTAAGGCCCGCTGCTAGGGTAATGACGCCGAGAAAGTAGACCGAGAACGTAGTGCACGAATCGGAATTGGGATTGTGAGTTAGGAGGTTATTCCTGTCTGCTGAGGGAATCTACCAATGCAGCGCACATGCCGCTAGAAAGCTCAATATAGCCTAATCACCCAATGGTCCATCCACAGTCTAAGCTATGACTCCAAAACAGGTCACCATCGCGATAGGTGGGAAATCAAATTTGGGCTCGCTGCCCAGATTTTCTTATGCAAAGCTAGTGAAGGCTTAGAGAGCTAGCTGAGGAAGTTTCTCTGTCAAAAACAACGTTGCAAGGTAGTTCTTCCCCAACCCCAATGCATGCTACGACGCCAATGTTACTCGATACTGACAGTCGACAGCCTGCGATCATGAGTGAGTGTCAACAACAACGTTCAGATACGGCATTTGTTAGACACAAATGGGAATCTACCATCTTTTCGCCAGGTAGATTAGCAAAACGAAGGCCTATGCCGTCCTTGCCATATTGGCAGGAGGACGAATAACGTGGCCAAAGGATGTAGAGTGTTAACACTACGCGTGCCGTTTGAGCCAGTTGAAGTAATGATAAGCAGTTGAAGAGCACGATACCCAAGGGGGGCGAAGTAGAGATGGAAGATTGTTCCATACTTGGTAGACGTGCGCAAGGGTTCCCCCGAGGCACAACACGATCGCCAGAGCAGAACTCTTTCCGCTTTCGTGTTGACTGGGGGAGATCGAGACATTGACGTGTGAAGGCGACATCGCAACTCGAGCTTGCAGCGCTGAAAGACGAGTACTGAGTGATGTTGATTTAGGTCATGGGCGATTGGATGCTACAACTGGAGTGGCGTGCGAAGTTGGTGATGACTACTGCGATATCTATCCTACATGCTATCATAGCATTGATCATGCGAGCTATCATATGTAATAGGCTGAAAAGACAATAATGTTAGTCAGTCATTTAGAGTATCTAGTCGCCATCAGCTACACCATGAACAACGATAAACTCTAGCACTATAAATGCAACATAAGCGATCAGCATTCCAAATCCAATCCATCGACAATACCTTCCGCCAAACTAGACCGTCAAGGTAAATGCAAGTGTTGAGCCCCACAACACCCCTAGTTCAGAGATGCTCAGGTTGCCGTGTTCAAGCTTCCCCGATGTATCGAGCATAACAATTCCAGAGCACAATGCAAGTAGGAATATGTTACTGCCGGCGGTGTTCGCGACAAGAATGCCCACATGACCTCGGTGCCCGCTCATCACAGCAACGAACTTTTCGGGAAGTGTCGTAGCTATTGCGAGAATCACAACACCAAAAAGCACATCTGAGGTGCCGAATTCGTCGGTAATGGCGGTGGCAGCGTGGGAAAGTACGTAGCCTGCGAGGCAGATGGCTAGGAAACCAATCAATAGATAAAATAGGTGGTAACCTAGAGTCCGATGCTTTCGGCAACTTGGTCCTGATGACCTTTGCGTTGTACTACTGCCAGAGTGTACAAGTAGGCTCGTTTGTTCGTCGTTCCCAGCGAGAGTTGTGCCATTGGTTTCGTGTCTGTGTGTATCTGCACGATGTGGTCCCCTCCTCGCGACAACACCAACTATACTTTCTCCATCGCTGCTATCGCCGTCGCTGCTATCGTCGGAGTCCTCTGGAGCGGTGAGAGCCCCTTTACTGATTGCCCACCCCATAGACCCAATATAAATAGCGAAGAATGCGATCAAGACGGAGCCACAAACTAACCATATGATCTTGTTTGGAAAGTATGTAATCGGCGTCACAAAGGTCGTTAGGACAAGTAGGACGAGGGAGTAAAGGCGTGAGCTTCGGTCGAAGACAATCGGTTGCTGCTTGTCGTGGAACAAAAGACCCAGGGAGAAAGCTCCTAAGATATTCGAAACGGCAGAACCAACAATATTACCGATGGCCAATGAGGCGCGATTGCGCGCAAGGGACGCAACGACAACAGCGAGCTATAATATCGGGTATGATTAGTACACTAACGGATAAGACTTCGTGCAGCTGCGAGCATACCTCTTCCCATTCTCCTCCAGCAGTGAGAAGCCCAATGATAGTCTCCGGTATTCGGGTGCGGCAAGCGATGACGGCAGTATGGTCGACAAACTTATCCGCACCAAATTCCAATAGGAAGAGTGTAGCGACGAACACTGCGACGTTGTATGCGACAACGTCAGCGTTCGCCATTGTCGGCCCGTTCGGAGGAGAAGTGCGCTATGGGAATGGGTAGTGTAGAGTTGGGCGGCACTGAAACCTCAAAATATGTGTTCCCTTCTATGGGTTATCGCAGGCACATTTTACGAGTTAATGTGGCGGGTCGCTCGCTCTATGACATGTTGGAAGTGACGATCAAAGTTCGAAGTGGTTGGCGCGTCGCAAAACGCGGAGCATGAGCGCCAGTGGCTGGTTTACGTCATGTTTGGCCGAAGCTACCCTCCAGTCAAGCTTCAACGCCCTCTCGGCATGACTTTACCAAGCGCTGGACCGCCCTTAGCTTATGTGTCTTTTTATGGGTGATATAAATCAATTCCAAGCCGCGGAGCTATTACCGTCATTGCAGTCGTTCCGTCTCGCCGCACGACAAAAGCCGAGCGACGCCTCCACTTGCGCATGAGGAGAACGTGCTCGAAAATATCCGTGTGTCCAATCGCTTCATACTCATGAGAAGGCTTGCTAAGGCACAAATTTCGTATGGCTGCGTAAGACATTAAATCTCTAGAGCACTCCTTCCTGTTCTCCTTGAAAGTAACGAATTTTCATGTTATTCAAGATGGTTCATGGCAGGGTGACCAACAGTCATATGAACTAAAAGCAGAAGTCGACGCGAAAATGTTCTTGTAAGCTATAAATACTGTTGGACGCGTCGTTGATCCTGGAGCAGCTTCCCGGGGTCAATGAAGAACTGGTTGCAAAGGTGTGGGCTATGACGGATTTGGCGAATTAAGTAACGCTCCTGACCACTCAGAATACTCTCGTTTCACGGATATCGAAGAAAACTACAGTTTTCTCAATAGATAGCGGGGTTGTCTTTTGGACTAGAGATGTGTGACTGTGGTAGGTGCTGAGCTCTTGTTTCCGTGTTTACTGTAAAAGATCCCGCTATCCCTGAGACAAAAGGGATGTTACATCTGGTTCAGAATGAAATCAACCACTCTCTGTCCCACGAACAACAGGCTTGTGTGTTTCATCGACTCCAAGCCACATAAGGTCTGGCCTGCTATAATGCCCAGAGGCATCTACAAATGTCTTGGCCCTTGTCACTAAACTCAGATCCAGGTCCGCGATGATGAGCTTTTCATTAGGATTGTCGGTTTTGCTCAGGATGCGTCCATCGGGTCCGATGATGCATGAACTTCCTTGGTTAGGATGACCCATGATTGATGAACCTCCTATTCCCATCATTTGAATGGCAGTTTCAGAGATGACAGTGGTACAGTGAAGTACAAAGGCTTGAGACTCGATTGCATAGGACTGTGAGATATTGCGGCAGCCTACGATCACTATCAGCTCTGCAGCTCACATCGAAAATCAAATGCTACTGCTCACCTTCAGTTGACATGGAGTAGAGTCCAGGACTGCCTTCTATAAACCCGTCGACGGCTGGCCATGCTCCTACGTGGATCTGCTCACTTTGTGTGAATGTGTAATACTTCAACAAAGGTTGAATATGCTCCCAGCACGAGAGGCCGCCTACCCGACCGACTCCAGGTAAATCAACAACCTTAGACAAGCATGAATTTCCGCCTGTGGCATCTCCGAATATTGTGCGCTCCATGTGTGTCGGTTTCATTTTGCGACGGGTCATCTTAATCTCGCCATACTCACTGATCAAAGCTTGTGCGATGTACACAGAATCGCCGTCGCGCTCAGAGAAGCCCAAGGACACATTGATCTTGTTCTCGGCCGCAGAAGCACAAATGCGCTTCATTTCCTCACTGTCTGTCTTCAAGGAGTTTTGTACGTATTTTGTTCCCAGATCAAAATCGATTGGGCGGCTCCAGATCCAAGCAGGATATCCAGGAATCCAGCATTCTGGAAAAGCGACAAGTTTCGCTTCGGCTTCGGCGGCTTCTTTGATGATGGTTATCGTCTTTTGAACTGTTCCTTCTAGATCGAGCCATAGAGGCTCATGCTGCGTAACCTGTTCTCATTCAACGTTTTGACATCATCAGTGACTAAAACGTATTACTAACCGCAACGCGAACAGTTGGATGTACTCTATCGCCCATTGCAGCAGGTCTATGCTCTTGTATGGACAGGGTAACCTTGTAGCGGAATGTTCTCAAGCTGACACCTATTTACGAATCGACTAGCGATCCGCGGAGATGTCTTTGCTGTGTAGGGCTACGAAGCATCCCCGTCTAATCACCTTGCGGGCGAATTCCGTTCCTAGCGGGGTAAGTACGACGTCGGATAAAGATTTACCCCACCGCACGGCCGCTTTGTGGAACCTCTTCAGATTACACAGCAGAGGGTTTCGATATTGAAATTCCAAACTTGGTCTTTGCTGTGAGCTCGACAACGATAAGGCTTTTAGGAACAGGGATTGCCATTGGTACAGAGCAGGGTCTTGATCTAGTCACTCTGCTCTCAGCTCATGGATGTTTGCGTACCAGCGCTTTCCACCGTAAGTAACCCGAGACCACAGCTGAGACCTAATTATATGACCTAGGACGAAAAAGAAGATGCCGGAAATCGTTCCGCGTGAGTGAACGAGTCGTAGCTACAGTCATGACCGTCTTGCCAAGCACTTTCAGCAACACACAAATAAAACGCGTGCACAAGCGGTAGCTAGAGAATGTCAGAATGGTATAGTCATGAAAGAAGCACGTTCACTGGAACATGCGATTCCATCGCACCTACAGACCGAACGTACGATCCCTGCAAAGACGTCAGATAGATTCGTGCCGCCCTTTCCATCTTATACTGCTAGATTCCCAAAGGAGGCGAAACATCTCGTGATGGCCATAATTGGAGTTCAGTATAAAGACAGCGTCAATCACCAAGGGCCTGCCTACCAAAAGCTGGTCTCATTCGTTGAGCAGGGGTCCGAGAAGTCCAAACCCAAGTACTGGGAAGCAGCGATAACCACCGACAATCGAAGCTTTTGTAATGAAGTGGTAATTCCGTATTGGCAGACGAAGGCTGATTTCGAGGAATGGAGGAGCGACAGTGGCTTCGATGACTGGTGGGCCAACCTGCAAGCAGAATCGGAACGAGGGTGGTTTATGAAAATATTCTTCCCAACCATTGACCGATTCGAGACTGTCTTCTCCGACAATGTAGTGCCGGCCGGCGCAGCTCATATGCGCTCCTCGGTGTCAGGCGAGATGCAACAACACTTCTATTGGGGTTCGATGCGTGACAGACTCGCAGCGGCGCAGACTGACCACCTCATTGGTGAGCGCGCCTTCCCCAAGTCATTTACGGAACAAGTCAAGAAAGGCGACACAAGAAAGCAGCGCATCACACTGCCAGGCAGAAAGAATCTCGCTGTCATTAGAAGTGGTCAAGACTGGTCCGATACGAATCCGAGTGAACGCAAACTCTACCTCGAGACCATGCACCCTGTGCTCACCAAAGGTATGGAATTTTTGAGAGACAAGGGCGAAGAGGTCGGCTGCATCAGCAACCGCTTCATGGAATGTATATACAAGACTTCGCCCAGGCAGAATACTGAGCGCACCTTTAGCCTTGCATATTTTGATGATCTCAAGTCGCTCGAAGGCTGGAGCAAAGAACATAAAACACATCTTGATATCTTTGGTCGATTCTCCAAGTATGCGTCAGAGTTACAGGGCAATGTATCACTGCGATTGTTTCATGAAGTAATGGTTCTCAAGCCTGAACAGCAGTTTTTCGAGTACATCGGTTGCCATGACAGTACGGGAATGCTGGCTTCGGTGAAGAACGAATCCTATCAACTAAGATCTTAGTAGAATATCTTTATTTGCTTACTCTGAACTTCAGTCTCCAGTTCAGTGACCGAGTCTTGTAGATTCTTGATCTGCGGCAAATTTTGAGTGCCAAGATTTCTGAGTCGACGATGCTGTTTTCTGTATTCCTCATTTGACAGGGTCAATCCGTCAGCTTCTCGAGCTACTGCTTCCCGCCCTGTTCCTAGGCTCTCTTGCTCCGCGACCCTGCCCTCATCTACTGCTCGAGCTGAGTCTCTAGCCCTAACCTCTCTTTAAAGCACGAGGTTTTCTCTTTCCTAGTCTGCTCTAATCCCCTCCTGCCAACACCTAGCCCGAATTCTCCAATCTCTCCTCTGGTTTCTACCTGTCTATGTCATGAAAGTGTAGTAAAGCGACACGACAACAGTCATCCCAATGACTGTCCAGCCTGTTCTAATAACATACTGGTTCTTGAACCCAATACCAGTATCCCATGTCAAAAATCTTACTCCATTAAACCCGTGGAAGAAGAATGGAAATGCAAAGAAAGCCTTCACGCCCATCTTGATAGCAGTGGGCCACGCAGCGACTGCTGCAACCATGGATGTAGTATCCATGTGCCATCCGGTGTAAGGTGCGACAAGGTAAGCGATGCCGAAGAGATAAAAAGAACCAGCTAGAGTAAGGCCTGTGATACGTTGTAGGGTCGAGGTAACCGAATTGATCTGTGGCTTGTAGATAGATAAGTGGGGTGAAACGGGGCGTCGTAAACGTTGTTCAGCGATTAGTTTTGCAGCTTGTCCATGCGATGTGAGCCTTCGTGATCTTTGTTAGCAAAGGTTATGATGAGTAGGAGGGAAAGCTTCAGTTAAGCTGCTATGGCGTACCTCTGCTGGACAACGTGGCCCATAGGCTGCACACTTAAGCCAGGCGCCGTAGCCCGACGAAGACCAAGCTGATATGACCGCTGGAGGTTCATTGGAATGGTCTGATATATCTATCAAGTGATGGTAATGTTCAGTGGTGTAGTGGTGAAGTGATGCCAATGGTGATATCGTAGTGAATTCAACTAGTTTGACTTGCCGAGAACTTGATTTTCCCACCATTGTTATTGCGCTGGACCACATCAGGCTCATAGCATACCAGAAGCATTGCGGCGTAGTTCCAAAGAAAAGAAACCGATATCAATTGTGTCATAGCCGAGCAAAGCTCTCATGCAACCGAACAAACCAGAAAGTATTGGTGTCTCCAAGCAATGGAAAACAACCCCAGAACCATGCCAACCTGCTACCTACTTCGTATTGAATCTACTGTAGCTTTTATTGAATACAGACAAATGGTCATAAATGTGTTTGTTGTGATAGTCTTGTCAGTTGTCGTTGACGGCTATTTTAGGTACTACGCGTCGCCGCTTCTTTTTATCTCTCGGCTATATCGGTTGTATGAGAGCAGGACTACAGAAGAAATGACTTCGGCTAGCGAGCTGAAGCAACAAGCCATTGCAATGGTGATAAGGATGCCCCTGCTTTATGAGAAAAGGCACTAGTTTTGCACTACAGAAAAAGGAAGATGGACGATAGCAGGACAAGCAATACAATAATCTCCAGCAGCTTCGCGTGCAGCAATAAGTCACGTGATCGCGGCGCAGCGGGCACTCTCGCTATTGTCCGCCAACACTAATGATAAGAGCCACTCCTCACTTGATGTGCTGCATCTCTATTTCTCGGGGGCTGCGAAATGACCGGGCTGCCGCTAGCTCACCGCATTTGCATACAGGGACTGTGAGATGACAGCTCAGCTCTGCTGCGCCACGAGTCCCAACAAGGTACATACAGTGTACTGTATGGCAGCATTTGGAGCTGAATAGTATATCTACGTATGACAGAGACACTGGTGGTTTCGTTTCAAGCTATCACTGCAACTTACTATGTAAGATGCTGGTTAAGCATATTTATGGCACAGCTCTCTACAGCTGGGATCGCGGCGTGACTGCGAGCCTCCGAATAGGCCCGAAATGGAAGTCAGGCATAGCCACGGCTGTAAAGCGAGTGGGTCTGGCAGAAGGCGCAGCGTCGCGAATGCGTCTACTGCAGCCAATGAAATTCGCTCCCAGTGACTCAATTCCAGTAATGAAATTGGCCGTCTCAGCCTCAACCGTGTACACAGCAGACAAGTCTTTGAGTCAAGCATCAAAACGCAGAATTGATAAGTCCCGCACAGCACAGTATGTTCAGGCACACTATACATCAAAACTTTTACTTCCTCCAACTTGAGTCCTAAGAGAAAATCGAAAAAGGAATGGCACACTGCGATGACTTTCACCCCCAACCTTTCTCGATCCGAATAGAGTCACCCAAAGGCTTTTCACACTCGCTACCCGGCCCCGTACCGACTACCACATCCCGGACAAATCTCGTGGATACTCCCTTTCCCTTCCTTTCGCTCCCCCGCGAATTGCGTGATTTGATTTACAGTCATACCTCTCACGAGCGCGGGATCCACTATCGCGACCGCATAAAAGCTGCCACGCAATGGAGCACGCCGCGGCGAACACTCGCCTCCCACATCAACCTACTCCTTACAAGCCGCCAAATCCACACAGAAGCCCTATCCACACTTTTACGCACACAAACAGTCGAAATTTCTCCAGGCAAACTCCACCGGAAGCGGAAATATTCAAATCAGCTCTCACTCTCACACGTACTATGCTCATTCCCGCTCGCTCCCGCGCGCCTAATGACGCGCGTTCAGGTTGTGTACGATGAATATTCCATTTACCTTCCATCAAAATTTTCCTACCCTTCCCCACCGCCCAGCGACGGAGAACTCATGTTCCTAATGTGGGAGCACATAGTCCGCCATGCGTGGACGCTGAAGGAACATTTTCCCCATTTGACCAGATTTGAGGCGTGGGCTCGCATGCTAAGGGAGAAAATGGGATGTACATTTTGCGCTGAACAGCGCGATTGTCATACCCTTGGCGAGTCGGAGTGGCGCCAGAGAGTGAATCAAGTAGCAGCAAGGGTAGTGAGCTGGCTTGAACGAGAGCTAGGCGGGACGGAACTTGCTCCACCGCCGTGGTTGAGGATTATTTTGAGTGATGAACCGCAGCCTAGTACCTCGCGTATAACCTTTTGGAGAGCTCAGCGCGAGGTACCGGACGAGTCGAATGAGTCATTTTTGCGGTTTCAGCACGAGGTACTTGAGAAAACGCACTGGTTGCTTGCAAAGAAGAGAGCGTTCACGCATGAGGAGAGAGAGGCGAGTGGGAGGATATGGTTGGAGCAGTATGGTATGAAGAGAAAGCGGGGACGGACGGGGTGGTGTGAAGAGGTTGGTACAGCGTAACTTGATTCTGTGGATAACTAGAGAGGTCGAACTCTTCCGGTGTCGAATCTTCTATTCTCGATCAATGCAACTAGAGTACAGTAATAGGTCGTCTCTTCCAAGTAGATCTCTTGGCCATGCATGATAAACACCTCTGCATTGGACCATCCCAACAATATTTAGTTTCTGTATCTAAGGCTCTAGCTCTAAGGATGTACTACCTCGAACTCTAAGGACGTTTTACTATCTCAAACACTACCCCCTTTGTCGTATATAGCGAACAGAAACTCCCTATTTCGACCTGCGTATATCTCTCCTTCAGACTATCAGGCATGCTTGTACAGCTAAACTCGAGTTAGGTTTTTGCAACGAGGAGAATAACGATCTGCGGCAATGTTCACCTCTTCGCAGAAATCGTAATTCAGACGTGCTTGATTTGATTCCGTGATTACTTTGGTTGTATTGCAGTATCTCAAATTCACACAATGCAGAGTTAAGATCACCCTTTACAGAATGAATAAGGGATGAGAGATCATGGCTAGTTCCTATGTACCTTAGTCTGAGAAAACTACAACTACTTAGCAACTATGATCATAGTTCGTAGAAAGTCTGCTTCAACCTACTCATTGGTCATGTAAAAGATCCGGGCGTCTATTCTAAATCTTCGTAGCTCATTTATAAAGCTGGAAATGTAAGACTAAGGCTTTGGTTTCGTATCTCGATGCAAGACGATGGGTGGTGTGTTGCAATTGATATTTGTGAATAATTCAGCACACAGGGATCTTGGCGTGCCAGCCTTTTCCGATCCACTGGCATAGCCTTTCTTGGCAGATTTCAAGTAGAACTGCCGTTGCCCCCAGAAATTGCTGCTACAGAGTGTGGGAAACTTTGCCAATTCCAGTCTATCGTTGAGTGTGGGGAGATGCGCAATTATTGCAAATATTATAGAAGCGGGTACAAGTGTTTACCTCGTGTACCCAGGCAATGCAGAGACTCAAGGCTCCAGGCCAGAAACATGAAAAGTTGAAGTTGTGTAGAACGGAATCAGTGACGATACATATAAAATGAGTAGTTTGACAGCCTTCATAGCGGTGCTGAAGAGGAGTGCAGCTTGAGTCTTAATTTCAGCACCCGCTAGCTAGGCTATTAGACTGCTTATTCGATATGATGTATGTATAGCGTGCCTTAGACGCGAGCTCTTTGCCTCCGGCAGCTCCTGCGGAGAGCTGGGCTGATAGAGGTCTTGGTGTTTATCACGTGACAAGACGCTATCTGAATACTACAGGAATGCCGAACATCTTGGCATAAGTAAGGCCGATCAGAGTGGAACTTGTTAGAGCCAATGAAATCGCATGTCATCTTACACGAGAACCCCTTCTGGGACGGATTGTAATTGCAGCTTTAGCTGCAATAGTTCCATGCCCTTGTCGGCTGAATTTAATAAGCCAGATTAGGGGATGGATGCTGGGTGTTGCAGAAATTTGCAGGAATCCACGAGCTCATCACAAGAACCAGCTCCAAAGAGCCGAATTTCGCATAGACCCATTCGAAATTCCTATCAGCTTAGGAACTCCAATAATCAAATCCGACTTTTGTGCCGCTTCTGTTCTACCAAGGATATTCTATAGTATCTTGATCTATCTATTCCATGCTTTTTGCTCTGGGCTTACCTATAATGAGATCAGCCATGACAAGGCCCTTTTCTATCTTGTTCTGTCCGTGTGTCTAGACTACTTTCAGAAATGTTATTTTGTTTAGTCAAGTATAGGAATAGCCATTTTTCACCTATATAAACTGCCTTCTATCCAACGAGTTCTCCTCCCATCATGGCATTCAGCCTACAATCCTCTTGAACTCTACTACTACAACAACTTTCCGGTATAGTATTTCCCACTGTCTCTATTCCCACTGTCTCTATTCCCACTGTCTCTATTCCCACTGTCTCTATTCCTTACATAATGACTAACTTCATCACCAGAACTTTAGCTTCAGACAAAAGCTCAATTTACAGTAACGTAGCTATAGCAGTATTCGTATTATCCCTACTAATTTGTTATTAGAAAATGGCGTCTATCAAGACTGTACTCGTCACTATCCTCGTCTCCGCCGCCTCTGTTTCGGCCAACTGCATCGCCAATATCCTGAACATTAATCAGGCTATTGTGGGATCTGGCTGTATTCCAGCTGGAGGTACAGCCTTCGTCGCCGCAAATGGCGCCAATTGGTTGATTTCGGCTTCGAGATCCTGTGGTCTTGGCCTTAGTGGGGGGTCAGGCCCTACCATCCGGCTGGAGTCTTCAATATGGAGGAAGGTGCTAGATAGTAGAATATCTGGCACTACATATGTTGGACACTATCCCTTGGTATAGATGGCCTACTCTTGGTTATTCGAGGGTACATAGTCTACGAATTGCTCGCACGACTTAGTGGCAATTCGGCTTGTTTACAATAAGATTATTTATCCTCCTTTCTCCAATGAATTCTACTAGTGCCTTAGATGGTAAACGCTTAATTTATTTTGCGCGAAAAACCGACAAAATAGATAAGAGTCTGTTCTCCCAGAAATCGATTGGGGACGAAATTTCTCCGTTGGAGGCCGAGAGTTAGGACTTATTATCAGCGCTAGCGGCCCTAGCGACGCACGAGAATGATGTTCAATGTCATATAGTTTAGGCCGATGTGTCTCATTAGGGGAGTGCCTGGGCCAACTGCATAATGTGTCTTATAAGGTGGCGTACTTAGTGTGCGCAGCAACGATATTCTGCGGTGGATCCTTCTGATGGGGGTTAGATCACAGCAAGGCTTGTTTTAGTTTCGGTTATTATTCCATTCTCAGGGATTTTTCGGTTGCTTCGCTTCCCATCTCCGTTTATGAATCCTTCACGGCTTAGGGTTTCGAAAAGGGGGACGAAGGGAGGGGGCGGTTCGGTTGAGCTCCGTTCCGCTACTAATCTCATTGCTTGGTGAGCTTAGCCACCAGAAGTAGCAGCAGCAAGATAGGGTTTATAGATAGATAGTAGTTGAGAAGCCTAGAGAGAAAATGGATCTCCGTTTATCTTGAAAAAAAAACGGCAAGGCGGTACGTTGAAGTTACACTAGACAAGGCTTTATCTGTTATGGCACTGCCGGGAGCTACCCTGTTTGGGTATAGCGCCTTGGCTGGGATCCTGTACTTAGCTCACCTCCGCAACTAACGTGCGGGATCAGTAAGCTGGAAAGATCAGTAAGCTGAACGCCCCACCCAAACTGACGCGACTGTCTGCGCAATTGAGCCACAACAACGCAATAAAATAAGATAAAATTAAGAGATGTGATTTATAATCTAGTCTTGCACGTAGTACGAG